GGAGAGGGGCGGGGCGCGGGAGGGAAGAGCTACTAGAGAGCACCTGGACCCTTGCCACCCGTAGAGCACCCCAGGACCCGGCCACCTGGAGAGCACCCGGACACTGGCCACCTGGAGAGCACCCGGACCCTGGCCACCTGGAGAGCACCCGGTCCCCGGGAGAGCACCCGGACCCTGGCCACCTGGAGAGCACCCGGCCACCTGGAGAGCACCCGGACCCTGGCCACCTGGAGAGCACCCGGTCCCCGGGAGAGCACCCGGACCCTGGCCACCTGGAGAGCACCCCGGATCCCGGCCACCCAGAGAGCACCCCGGTCACCCGGAGAGCACCCGGACTCCAGCCACCCAGAGAGCACCCGGACCCCAGTCACCTGGAGAAGACCCGGTCACCAGAAGAGCACCCAAGTCCCCTGGAGAGCACCCCGGACTCCGGTCACCTGGAGAGGACCCCAGTCACCTGGAGAGCACCCCAGTCACCTGGAGAGCACCCTAGTCAACTGGAGAGCACCCCAGATCCCCATCACCCAGAGAGCACCCCAGTCACCCACAGAGCACCCAGACTCCAGCCACCCAGAGAGCACCCAGACCCCCATCACCTGGAGAGCACCCCGGCCACCCAGAGAGCACCCAGACCCCCATCACCTGGAGAGCACCCCGGTCACTCAGAGAGCACCCAGACCCCCATCACCCAAAGAGCACCAGGACCCCAGTCACCTGGAGAGCACCCCGACCCCAGCGACCTCGAGAGCACCCAGGCCCCAGCCACCTGGAGAGCACCCCGACCCCAGCCACCTCAAGAGCATCCAGACCCCGGTCACCCGGAAAGCACCCGCAGAGCATCCGGACCCCTGTCACCTCGAGAGCATCCAGACCCTGGTCACCTGGAGAGCACCCAGACCCTGGTCACCCAGAGAACACCCTGGTCACCCAGAGAGCACCCGGACCCCAGTCACCTGGAGAGCACCCCTGTCACCTGGAGAACACCCCTGTCACCCAGAGAGCACCCCTGTCACCCAGAGAGCACCCCTGTCACCCGGAGAGCACCCCTGTCACCTGGAGAGCATCCCTGTCACCTGGAGAGCACCCCTGTCACCCGGAGAGCACCCTGGTTACCCGGAGAGCACCTGGACCCCAGTCACCTGGAGAGCACCCCTGTCACCTGGAGAACACCCCTGTCACCCGGAGAGCACCTCAGTCACCTGGAGAGCACCCCTGTCACCTGGAGAGCACACCTTTCACCTGGAGAGCACCCCTGTCACCCGGAGAACACCCTGGTTACCCGGAGAGCACCCCAGTTACCTGGAGAGCACCCTGGTCACCTGGAGAGCACCCTGGTCACCTAGAGAGCACCCTGGTCACCTGGAGAGCACCTGGACCCCAGTCACCTGGAGAGCACCCCAGTCACCTGGCCACCCAGAGAACACCCGGACCCCAGTCACCTGGAGAGCACCCCAGTCACCTGGAGAGCACCCGGACCCTGGCTACCCAGAGAGTACCCGGACCCTCTGAGCGAAGAGGGGAGACAGGAGAGCTGGGGGCCAGGGCTGGACACCAGGAGCCCCAGGAGTGTGGGGTGGTGCGCTGCACCCAGCTTAGACCCCCCTGGGTCAGGACTGAGGGCCGGGCTCTCTCCCTGGGTCCTGGCAAGCCCCTTGAGTAGCAATGGAAAACACAGACCCAGCATGAGTTGAGGGGTGCCGAGCGCCAGCCCTCCTAGCCCAGGGCCTCGAACTCCGTGTGCAGTTCCCCCGTTGTTCCAGTCCTGTGGAGAGGGTGTGGACACCGCACTTGTGGGTACAGTACATTTGGATCAGTGTCTCCCCTCCACCAGCGGCCCCACCTCCTCACCCCTCCCACCCTCCCCTGTCCCAGTTCCATTCCCGCACATACATACTGAACAAGGTTGCTTGTTTTCTGAAGTCTGAACTTCTCAGAGCGTAAAATGGCAGGGGATACAGCTGTGAAACTAAGATCATTTCTGCAGGTTTTCTCTAATGGAGAATGACAGACCTGCAGGGTCTGGTTTGGGTTTTGCTTTTGCTTGTTCTCCTTTGCCTGTGGAGTCCTGTGTGGGCCCAAGACTTCCAGCGCTTGGTGGTGTGGGGGCAGCACCTGGAGGCATGTTGCCTGGGACCCTGAGATCTGGGGGTGGGGCCACCTCCCCTCCCCTCCAGCGGTGCCCTCCTCCAGCACCAGACCTCTGACCCATCCCAGGCATGGCGGTTCTGTGACCTGGCCTTCCACACACACAGCCCTGGCCCGGCAGCTCAACAGGCGCCTCCCCTTCTCCAAGTCCCCTGACTCAAGGTCACCCTCTAATCACATCTCTAGAAAGTCTGGTGACCTTCCCAGACCTTCCAGATTCTTCTGCCCACAGAGGATGGAGTTCTCACATTTTCTCCTCTTGTTTCCTCATCTTACCTGTAGAGGTACTGCCTTATCTTATTCCCCAAGACAAGGTTCTGGCATTCGACAACTTTTTACTGATGAAGAGAGATACAGAGACAGACCTGCCCCAAGATGCAAAAAGTAACACTAAGTTCAGACATCTCTGTGGTGAGGCCAGTTGACGCCCCCTGCCCCATGGACGTTGTGTCCCTTGGTGTATGGGCATTCCCTCCTCTGTTGGCACACTGCCCACGGCTCGTCTCCTCCCTGGGGGCCTCTCCCAGAGCTGGGCTGGAAGAAGCCCTGGCACTGTCTTAACCACTGTGGGGGAAGGTGTGTGGTCATGGGTCATCTTCCAGTTCAGGAGTTCTGATGTACTTCTAGTAAGAGTTTGATAACTAGAATAGACCGAGCTGTGCTCCCAGGCTGTGAGACCGCTCATATAAAGCCCCAGTGATCCCGGCTGTGGGTCCTCACTGTGGCCCAAGCACGGTCCTCTCCGTGTCCAGAGCAGAAAGGAGCGGTGCCCACAGCGGGAGAGGGGGTACACACGGGGCAGAGGGGGTCAGTGCACAGGGAGCAGCAGGAGGGGTGCTGTGCAGAGAGGAGGCGAGTGGAGTGCTCCTGGGAGTCTCTTCTAATGAAGCTCCAATTATAAACTCATATATGTCATTCTGTCCATTTCAGCTTGAGCAATCACTGGACCAGAGTAATGAAAATACATAAGCAAATTCAATAGTAGTGAACAGAGACAAAACCTGATAGCTATCAAAAGAAGCTACCTGAAAGCAGCAACTTAGAAGCTGATTTACTGGTCCTATGATCTAACTACGAGCTATAGCCCCAACTACACACACACACACACACACACACACACACACACACACACTTTAATATCTGTCCTTTGATCTGAGCCATTCCCTCCAGAGGTCACTTTACAATTACCTTAGGCTCCAGGAAAGACAGGATTTACCACCAATAAACAAGCCACAAAAGGCAAGTGAATTGTCTCAGACAATTTTATCTCCTTAGCTTGTAGCAAAAGGCAAAACTGCAACCAAGAAGCAGAACAGCTCAGGAAGCCAACTGCCCTCTGGTGGAAAGGGTAACCACTGCTCAGGAACTCCTTCAAGGTCAGAGATAGCCCAAGGTCAGCGAGGCCACACCTGTGACTTAGGGCTGTCTTAACCATGCATACCATCTTGACCTCACCCCAGTTTTCTGTTTAACCTGAGGCCAATGCCTGGACCCCTGAAAATGGCTGGACTGAAATGCTGCCTTCTCCTGGCTACCACGTAGTAAATATTTCCCTGTCCTCTTCCATATCTGTTTCTTTGACGTGGGGGTGAGGTGCTGACTTACCAGCATGAGTTACCTGGAGTTCTGCCAGGGATCTAAAAACCCAGCCTCAATACTTTTTCAATGATAGTGACAAACCTTCTAGATGTACATACAACCACATAACAACTATAATCACAGCGTGAGAATCACATACATAGTGAACTTTTATAAAGCACAGTCTCCCCAAATCATACTCCTCTCAAGTCTCCATGTGAGATACTATATAATACCTGATATGTGAGGAATAGTCATGAAACGGAAACAACGCAAGTCTCACAGTAACAGAGGTGAGTGTGTGCACTGGCTTCAGGTATGGTGTGATCGAGGCCTCAGGCAGTGTTATCTCAGCCCACTTCTCACCGCTGGTCCCTTGATAACTTGTGTCCACTCAAAAACCTGCACACAATGTTCATCGCCATTATATTTACAATAGCCAATGATTTAGACTTCCATCACTGCAACACATATCTGAGCAAAATAACTCTCCAGAGAGAGGATGTCTTTTTGCTCATGACTTCAGACCGTCATAGCAGGGAAGGTATGATAGAGAGGAAGTGCTCACATCACAGCAGCTAGGAAGCAGGGGTGGGGGAGGAGAAGAGAGGGGGCTGCACTGCTGGGCTCTTCCTGCTCTCACTCCACGCAGACCCCAGCCGGTGGAAGGTGCAGCCCAAACTCAGGTGGGCCTTCCCCCTGGGTCAATCCTCTCTGGAAACTCTGCACATACCTCCCTAGAGACATATTAAAAAATAATCTCCTCCACACTTGGCAATCCACTCAAGCTGACAAGATCAACCATCACAGGACTCCCTTTGGGCAAGAGGCCAGGCAAGTTCAAAGCCACTATATAAAAGTCTCAAAACAACAAAAGAAAGATTAAACCATCACAACTAAAAACTAAAGTGAGATCAGTTGATTAAATCAACTTGTGTAACTGTAACTCCTCTGTGCAATTACATTTTTAAAAAGAATTTTTTAAAAAGTAAGGTGCTGCAGTGGTAGAGTGCTTGCCTTGCATGCATGAGGCCCTGGGTTCGATTCCTCAGCACCACATAAACAGAAAAAGCTGGAAGTGGCGCTATGTTTCAAGTGGTAGAGCACTTGAGGTGGTAGAGTTCAAGCCCCACAACCAACAAAAAGAAAGAAAGAAACGTACTCATTACCTTACTTATATAACTATAACCCCTGTGTACATCATCTTTACAATAAAATTAAAAAAAAAAGTAAGGTGCTGATTTCTGTTTTACCCACTTAGTTGGAAGGGCACGGGAACTTCTAACTCAAGCAGTGAAGGAAAGTGATTAGAAAGGAAGAAATAAAACTGTTCTTCTCCGTAAATATGACAGCTTTTGTAGAAAACCCAAAGTAATCTACAGAAAAGGTCCCAGTACTAGTGAATGAGTTCAGCAAGAATGCAGGATCCAAGGTAAATTCATAAACTCACAGCACACACAGCATGATGTGGATCAACAACAAACCACTAGAAAAATGAAAGACGTGATACTATTTATAGTTATTCCAAATCAAGTGTAGTACTTGGGTTGCAACAGAGGAAAACACACGTATAAAATGCTGGCATGAGAAATCAAAGATCGCAAGACTTGCAGAGACTAGCTGTGCTCTTGGACCAGGGCACGGAGACGTGGTCAGTTTTTCCCAAGTTGTCCTGGAGCATTCAGGGACTGCCTATCAAAATCTCACCAATGGTTCCCTTTTCAGACATCAGTCAAGTGTGTAAGATTTTGGTGGAAATGTAAAAACCATAGATTAGCCACAATAATTTACAAAAACACTAAAGCCAGAGGAATCGTTCTTCCAAGGTTAAGGTTTATTATATATGACAATATCAGTTAAGAACATGTAGTTTTGATTGATGGAGTCTGTAGTGTTGAGTGGCACACAGGTCAATAAAACAGAGCGCGGCACCTGTGTTGATCAGCACAGATATCCTCTACTGATGTCTAATGGCAGGGCAAATGTGATTCAGTGAGAGACGGCCCAGGAGCAGCTGCACAGGCATTGGGAAAGTGGAACGCAATAGAACTTCATCTGTAAAACTAACTCTAAGTGGACCAGAGACACAAATTTAAGAGACAAATAGGAGGCAAACATTAGGCTTAGGGAAAGAATTCTTACACCTGACATTGAGAGCCCAATTCATTCATAGTGAGAAAAATTGGACCTCACTAAAAAAATTGCTGTGAGGAATTCTTCACAGACAAGCTACAAACAGGGGCTTGCATTTGGAACACATAATGCCTAAAGAACTTCAAAAACAGAACACTGGGAAACAGATTGTCCAAGCAGGAAATGGGTAAAGTACGTGAGCACACATTTCACTGAAGAGGTTTTATGAGGCTATAGAAACATGGCCAGCTTCATTAGCTGCTAAAGAAATGAAATCCACAATGAGATATTGGTACACACTTGTGAGAAATGCTAGAATGCAACTAAAGGTAAGAGACAAATGCAGGAAGGGATGCCAAGAGGTCAACTGATTTGCCATGTCTTGTGAGAATGCAAATGGCACAGGCACTAGAATTCAGCAGTTCCCTTTAAAACTAAACATGGACTTGTCCATCCTACTATTGGGCATTTATCCTAGAGAAAGGAA